TGCTGGAGCTGCGTGGCTCCAGCTACCGGGCTGGGAGCAGCTGCTGCTGCCAGGCGGAAGCGCTCGGCAAGGCTTTCCTAGACAGCTTTGAATGGGAGCCAGGAGCCCTCTTGCTACGGGAGAAAATCCATGAGGTCAGGAAATAAAGCAGCGGCAGCTCCGGCTCCATGCTGGGGCTGTCGGCTTGGCACATGGATCCCAGCCCTCCTCTTCCCCGGCAGTGCTGCTGAATGGCTGTCCTCCTTGCTGTCTTGCTCAGTGATTTGTTCGACAGCACTGCATGGCTTTCGGAGGGTGCAACGGTTGAGTGGTCGCAGAAGTGATGAATTTGAATAGTCATGGAAAACACCAGACAGTGGCCTGGGTCAGACTTTCAGATCTTGAAGAGCTTGCAGAGTATGGAAGAAGCACTCTTCCTGCCCAGCATGGGACTGGGAGGCTCTGCTTTTGTCTTTCCCTCTGTTATTTTGTGGTCAGCTATGTCTGCTGTTAGCTGCTGAGACATAGAAACTCTTGTTTATCCTCCTGAAAATCCTCACATCAGGGGAAGCTTTTAGAACAACCAACAGGCTGCAAGTCTCCATCTGGTGTGTCCCCATACTGAGCGTCAAAACTTGGGGTGTCTGTTACCATCTCTCTGGCAGGAGCCTCATTCTCTCTTCCCTGCCTGTTTTTTAGGAGAGCCAGAAACCTTGTCTTTGGGATGGCTGTTCCTTGAACCAGCCCATGCAGTGGTGGTGATGTCCATGTGGCATTGAGGAACAGCCATCCCTGTGTCGAAACCTCTGTGTGCATTGATGAGCAGCCATGCTCTTCCCATGTTCAGAAGCAAAGAGCATGACAGGGAGCTATGAGATGGTGTTGGTAAGGTCAATTTAGGGATTAAGGTCAACTTGGCCAGCTGGCCAACTCTAAAAAAGCTTGGCCGTATGGAAATCCCTGCTTTCCCTGCAGCCTTTGGCCAGGCTCCCTCTCCCATGGCGTTTGCATGTGCTCTGATGAGTGGTTGAGTCTCCCCCTGTGAAGAGCTTGCATTGTGGATCCTCTGGGAGAGGAAGCGAGCTCATCTGAACATTGATTTTAGCACCCATTAATTGAGGCAGCTCTCATGCCCAGAGCTCTTCAGCAGTCCCCACACTCTTACTCTACATTAGGACGTGGTTTGCAGAGATGGTATGAAATGGTTGGGTGGGCTGGACTCGCCTTCCTCTGTAAGCTGCAGAATCTCTCCTGCCGTTGCTGGGGCGAGGATGGCGTGTAGAACAACAGAGTTAGCTGAGGTGCCAGCACCTTTGAGGTATGGTATGAGTAAGCAAACACCAACATTGCAGACTTCTTGTATGTAAATTGCCCATGCGCTGGCCATGAGTGATGGGGAGCAATAGCTTTTTGACTCCTTCATTTCCCCCGCCTCCTGGGTGGGTGTGGAGATGTGAGTCTGTGTTTCTCTGGAGGAGTCAGAGCTCAAGGCTCTGGACTGGGGTGGTGGTGTTACCCCTCTGCTGAGCAGTGGGGCTCAGTGGGGGTCTGGAGCAGGGGAAGACCCTTAGTCTGCTGTGGGTGACCTCCCTGGCCTCCACCTCCTGTGGCAGTGTGGACCAGAATGCTGGTGTGGCTGTGTGGGCTGGGGGTCTTCTGAAGGGACAGTGCCTTTCACTGGTGGTCTCAAGGGAGGACCTTCTCAAGGACTCATGTTGTCTTCTCTCCATATCAAGTCTAGGCTTTTCTCACTGCATTAGCAAGTCCCGTAGACCTGGGTGGTTGTGCAGCTTCCTGTCACATCACCATGGCAGCTGGTCCATCATTACCACCAGATGCAGAGGAGGGTCCATCGCTGCTGCTTCAAGCCTTTATTCGCAGCCACTGTGCTTTGCTAGGGGTCGCAAGTCTCCCTGCTCTGTATGAAAGATGGGAGCTGACTGCAGAGTTTCTTCAGACCCTTGGGACCCTTCTGTGTTCAGCTGTGAAGCTGTTCTGCTGCAGGAGCAATCCCCTCCTGGCCAGTACTGTTGGTGGGGACAGTCAGTCAGCATTTGCTCCTCAATCCCCATTTCAGCCTGTCGCTGTCCCTCATGGTAATTGACTCTTCCCATCTGAGAGAGGTGAGAAGCCTGGGGTGGGGATCTCTCTCATCCCTGAGAAATAGTGTATGTGAGAATCACAGAATCATTCAGGTTGGAAAAGCCTCTTGGGATCGTCGAGTCCAACCCTCAGCCCGACTCTACAAAGTTCTCCCCTACCCCACATCCCCCCACAGCTCATCCAAACGACCCTTAAACACACCTAGGGATGGGGACTCCCCCCCTCCCTGGGCAGCCTATTCCTCTCTCTGACCACTCTTTTGGTGAAACATTTTTTCCTCATGTCCAGCCTGACCCTCCCCTGTTGCAGTTTAAAGCCATTCCCTCTTGTTCTGTCACCAGTGCCTTGTGAGAAGAGACCAGCACCAACCTCTGCAATTTCCTTTCAGGGAGCTGCGGAGAGGAATGAGGTCTCCCCTCGGCCTTCTCCTCCTCAGTCTAATATGAGGGTGTGCTTTAATGGAGCAGAACAACGTGCCCATGGTCAATTAGTGTGATGCTTAGGTGTCTCCTGTAGCCTTGCTTTCAGCCCACATCTCTTCCTTGGCCACCAGAACAGAGGCATGTTGGACTTTTCTGGGAAGCGGTGACACTTTTGGGTATGGACCTAGGGTATCACATTATTTGCCTCTCATTTTCCCCACCAGTATCACTGTGTTTCACAACCCTCAGCTTCTCCAGCAGTGAAGACCAGCACAGCAACCAGAGGTCCTGCTCGACATGGTGTTTGTGCTCTGGTTGCTCTTCTGCACCCCCTCCCTGCCCTTCTTCAGGATCCTGGATGCTGAGAAGGGGATGAGCTTTGTTTGCCTTCCTGCTGCCGAGGCAGCAGATCAGAAGAGGGCTTTGGCAAGAGGCGCCTGTGTGTGACTGCTCCCAGCTCGAGTGGGTGATTGAACTGTCTGAGTGGTTTAAGGTTGCAGTCAGGTGGGGATTGGAGGCAGAAAGTTCTGGCCTCCTTTCCATCTGATCTTTGCTGCATTAGCAAATGCATCAAGATGCAGACTGGGTCTAGAGTGGCATTTGCCAGCACAGTTTGTACCAGCTTCCAGGGTTTTGGGAGTGGGGCTGGTGAGCCCAGGGAGGAGGGTGGAGTGATTGAACTGTCAGGGACGGGGAGGAGGGGTATGTGTGTGTCTAATCCCCGTGCAGTGGTGTTGCAGGCTGTGTCAAATGGCGACTGGCCAGGGGAACCGTGAGCTCGTCTTCCTGCAACCTGCTGTGTTTCGGGTGCTTCCCCAGAGCTCGCAGATGACGGTTGTGGATGAGTGTCTGACCCTGGGGTGACTTTCAGTGGGCAGGGGTTGCAGTCCAGTGAGGGTGGATTTCTATTTAAACCTTTGGGGTTTTGTAATCTTCCTGAGTTAAAGTTCCTCTTTCTCAGTGGAGCTGGAGCAAAAATTTAAGGGGGAGAGATGTGTAGGGTGTGTGAATTTTCTCCTGCTGAAGGGCCATGGCAAGTACACGGTGCTGCTGAAGCGTGGTTTGCTCATCCTGACCCTAATCATCATTCCCAATTAGTGCCTTTCCTGATAGCATCTCTTGCTCCCCTGTGGGGCATGCCAGCTTCATCTCTTGGGAGCAGGGGTGCCCCTTTCGCAGTCCTCCTCCCTATTGCGAAGCTCAGCACAGCAGCAGGATGGGCAGAGGGTGTGGACTTGCCACCATCTCAAACCTGCCCTGTGGCCTGAGGTTTAATGCAGCCTTAAGGGTGAAGACATGGAGCTAATGGCATATGTGGGGCAAGCTGGGACTTCTTCCCTGCTCCCACAGGCACTGACATCCAAACTGCATCAGCCAAGGCTTTCAAATCTATCTAACGATTTTGGATTGTCAGCTTGAGATAAGGCAAATCAGAGATAGTGCTGAGCACTTCTGGAAAACCAGACCCCTTAAATTGGTTACTTTAGGGTTTACTTTTGATTTACAGAGCCTATAGATCTGTTTTCTTATCAGTAATGCTCCCTTACATCTTGAAGCTTGTTTGGGGAATGTGTGAAGTTTGCATCCAGACTGAAGGGTTGCTGCATATCACAGGATAAACATAGTTTTGTATTCAGTTTGATGGATTATTTTGCCCATTTTAAAGTAACTTCCATTACTAGCGGAGAGTAGTAGGTTAAATAGCTCTCAAGGCTGTGTGTTTAGAATAAGTTTCATGCTTTTAGGTGAGACTATCTCACATTTCAGACCCTAACACATCGGACCATAAAAGCAAAAGAAAGACAGTGAATCCTGGAGGCACAGTACAGGGTGACAGACTGAAATAAATGTAATTTTCTCTGGCGAGATTCCCAGAGTAGTTATTGTGCTGGGTGGGAAGAGGGTAAGAAAGCCCTTGACCCTTGGGGCGCATGGGCCATCCCGCCACCTCCCTGTTCCCAGGCCAGGCTTGCCAGTGTGGTATGTCTGCGAGCTTGAGATGAGAGACCAGGGTAGTCCTGGAGCAGAATACCCTGTGATGGCAATTTCATGGACAATTTCGTAAAGCTACATTAAAAGGACGTTGCATTGCTGGTGGTGACTTGCCGGTTTTTACCCCAAGGAGTGAAGGGTGGCTCTTTGCCATCCAGAATAGCAGTGAGGTGGGTTTACCTTGTCCCATTCTCCATCGTTACTGAAGTCAAGCAACTTAAAAGACCGTTAAAACCTTAAGGGGTGCATCCCTTCACCTCTGCCTTGCAGCATTAGGTGTCTCTGTGTTACAGCGTGCTGGATCCCAGACCTCTGTCTCTACCTCGCAGCATTTGGGTGCTCCTGGGATGTGCAGGAGACAGTGGGAATGCTCAGTACCCCAGGAATGAGGCTGTACTTTGCAGATATCTGCCTTTCCTGGCAGAAAAGGGGGGGGCTCACCACTTAGATGGCTACAGAGAGGGCCCCTCTTTCCTAACGCAGTGGCTGTGTTTCTCCTTGTAGGTGGTGGTGCTCCTTGAAGTCCTGAGCTGGGGTCAGCTGGAAGATGACCGAATATAAGCTAGTGGTGGTGGGAGCTGGTGGTGTTGGGAAGAGTGCTTTGACAATACAGCTCATTCAGAACCATTTCGTTGATGAGTATGACCCCACGATAGAGGTAAGCAGCTCCGGGTGTGGGGTCTGTCTGTGTGTTTTCCTTGTGCTCTTCTCCACCTTGTCCCCAACCCAGAATGTGCTTGGCTTAGTCTGAAATCTGAACTTGAGCAGGGGTGTTCTTCTGCTTCTCAGAGCTGTTCTGAGTCACTGTGTGTGTGTTCAGAGGTGGCAGGGGCTGACTTGTGCCTCTTGCAGCAGGACAGCGATGGGACCTGTAATGTCCCCTCCTGAAGAGGGGACAGCAAGGGAGGCAGCAAAAGCAGGTAGAGGGGGAGGTGGCAGCAGTGGGCAGAGCCATGCAGGCACTGAGGCAGCACAGAAGCCCTCCTTTCTGATGAGATGACGGCGTAGAGAGGGGTTAAAGGTTTGGGATTGAAGAGCCATTTTGTGCCTGTGCTTCCATTTCTTCTCCTGTGAAATCAGAGGAAAGATACCGACTTCTTGTGCAGGATGTTTTGAGATTTCCTGATGTAATGGATTTTATCAGAGCTTGGTTGTGTTATATATGTACTGCAGTTTGAATGAGACATGCTGAGCAGCTGAACTGTTGTGGTTCCCAGACTGCTGCCTCTGCTCCATCACGAGGAGTTAAAAGTTGATGTAGAGTCTCGTGGTCGGTCTGGATGCCTGTCTGCTGGCCTGCCTAGCTCAACACCCTGCCTGGGAAGTGGGCAGGGACCCTGTGCTCCTCCAGGCTGTGCAGAAGGGAGGTCTGGTCTTCAATATCCATTACACAATTTTTCTTTTTTTTTTTTTTTTACTTTTTAAAAACATATTCTGTTCTCCAGCTGTTTTCACCGTTGCTAGCAAGATGCTAATTACCCCCTGCATGACTTACACCTTCATTCAGGGGAGATGTGGGCAGCAGCCACTGCTCTGCATGAGAAGTTCACCCTGGGAAGGCAAATTACAGCTCTGTCATGCCTCTTGGACAATAACCTCCTTGTCTGCAGTCCTAAAGGATTCTCTACCAGATGTGTGTAAATGCAGCTGTGGTTGCTGCACTTATTATTATCATAATGGCTAAAATGCCCCAGCTGGGATCAGAAAGCTATTCTGGTAGGTGTTATGTGTAGTCCCCACCCTGAAGAGCTTACAACTTAAATAAGCAAGACAAGGCTTGGTAGAAAGGCAGAAATAGTCTTAAAGTCCTACAGACGGGAAGGAGAGAAGGCACTTAAAAGCACGTGCTATTACGTCATTTGGCCAAGGTCACCTAGAAAGTCCATGGCAGAGGCTTGAGTTTAATTTAAGGGCTCCCGAGTCTCGATGCTGCACCTTGCTTGTGGATGCAGTTGCCTTCTTCCTCAGCTCCTCTCCCCTCATGCTCATCACCAGTAACATCATATGCTTTTCTTAGAAACCCATTCCAGGTTGTTTTTGGCAAAAGAACTGCTGATTGAGAGAAACCTCCCTGGGGAGACGTTTGCATGGATGGGTCCTCTCTCTTGGACCTTAGGGTGGGCAGAGGCAACTCTGACCCAGTGATGTATTAAGTTTTGGCTTTTTTTTTTTTTCCCCCCCTCCAGCCGCCTGCCCCCTGTATGTACCCTGCAGGGAATTTTCTCCATGTAAACAAGCAGCCGGGAATGTAAACCTTGCATGGCATTTTGCAGCACACCCTCCTCACCCTGTCCGCTTCTGCTATGCCCTGGGAGATGCCTGATCTCCTCCCCTGTTCCCCCAGCCCCACTCTGCTGTTCTCCTCCCTTTATGAAAACAGCCATGAGCTGCTCTTCACCCCTTTCTCCCCCCAGTGCTTTTCCCTCTGCAGGTCTCACCAGCCCTTATGCCTTTTGTAGCTCCTTTGGTTGTGCCCTGCATCCCCCTGCCCTGACCATCTTCTCACTCATTCCAGGGTGACTCCTTTTAATTTTGCTTCATTTTATGAGGATTCAGGAAGCACAGAGTTTACCTGCCAGCCATCTGAATGTGACCAGCAAACCCTTCTGTGACTAAGCTGCTTTGGATCATGCCCAGGAGCTGACTCTGACTATTCAGTCAGCTAAACAGCACAGCAATGCTGAAATGAGCAGGATAAAAGGGAAGGAAAAAAAAAAAGAGTATACGTGCATGGAACAAAGGCTTTACCTGTCACTTAAATGAATTGAGGATGGGCAGTGCTGCGAAGGGGGGTGCAAGCAGGTTGGTGTGCACTGAGAAGATGCTCCCCAGGGCAGGAGGGATGGAGAAGTGAGTTTGTCCCGTATCTGGGGCAGAGACCACAACTGAGTGCCTGCTTCCCTCCTGCCCTCCTGATTTCACTAGTGCAAATGTCTGGCTTTGTAACTCAAAGCTGGCTGACCCGCTACAGCGTGCGCTTGCATGCCTGCCCTTGGGCTGCCCAGGAGCTTGATGATCTTTATTTTGGGAACAGGAGGGCCAAGGCACCAAGAAAACGTGTGCTGCTGTCAGTGTCAGTGGTGAATGAGTGGGGATGGAGTAAAGAGTCAGGCTGTGTTGAGAAATCCTTCTTTTTGTCTTCTAGCTTTTAGCAGTCAGCTAATAATGGGCTTCCAAGCCTCTGGTCCTATCCTGACTGTAGCATTTAACAAATGGGCCTCTTGGCCAGGTCCCCCAGCACAGCTGGAGTCCTCCCAGCATCTTTCTGGGATCCTGAGTCTGAACCCCAAGCAGATACTGTTTCTGCCACCTGGCACTTCACAGCTGGGCCCAGGCACTTCCCTGTGCAAGAAGGTGGGGTGGGACATGGGGGCTGCAGAGGAGCACCGAGGCCACAGGGTGCCGGTGCCTGGACATGTTTGCTGGTGGCAGCTGCCCACCTGCAGTGTGACAGGGGTGGCTGAGCTGCCATCCCAACCGTCCCGGGGAGGTTTGGATGAAGCTGGACACAAAGCAAGGCTGGGGAGAGCTTGTCCCCTTCCTTTGTGGGGGGGTGGGCTGCAAAGCATCCTCTGCAAGACTGTTAATGCCTGTGCTCTGTCAGTGAGCTGGCTGGCCTTACAGGCAGCCTGTTGGTGACCTGAGCCAAGGTGTGGGATCGCTTCTCTGGAGGTGTGCTTTCTGCTGGTGAGACCTCCTATAATGGGGGACTTGGCAATTAATTGCAAATGTGTGCTGAGAGGCTGGTTCTCTGGGCATGAGCCAGGGCGTAGGGGTGGGAGGATGCTCTGCTGGGCAGAGTGGGCACTGGGGTCAGTGCTGCCAGTCCCTGGGACCCCAGAGGTAGAACCGGTGCTCTTCTACCTTGCATCAAGGAGGCTCCAGATACCTTATTGATTAGAAGTGGGAGCACATCCCTGCAGGGCAGCCTGCCAGTTGCCTTCAGAGCCTGGAAGCCAGCCCATCACTCCATGCTTATTCCCAGTGGGTCAGCAGTTCCCTTTTTGGGAAGGCACAGCCAAGAAAGTCATGGCAGAGCAGATCTCATCTCCTCTGATTTCATAGTGTTCTCTACAAGGTGAGGAAAGATTTTAATTAGCCCCAGTAGATGACGTTGTAGTAATGTACCAAAGGGCGGAGGCCACATTGTCCCCGTTCCCTTTCCCTGCCGCTGCTGGTCCCGTCAGTGACCTTTGCTGTGTCGGCTGTTTGTCTGCAGACCTGCAAAGCTCATCTGATAACATTGTTGTGGTCGTTGGAAGAGCAGCAGACATTTGAATTCATTTTAAACTGCAGCCATAGCCTCTGCCAGTGGCTGCAGAGCGCTGTCATGGCCATAGTGCTGACTCGCACCTTTTTCATACCTTTGGTTTTGGCTTCCTTCTCTTGCTGAGAGTTGAAGATGCTGCAGGGTACCAGCTATCAGAGACATGAGGCTGTTCCTCCGTGCAGGGGCTGCCCCAGCAGCATCCCTGCCGATGAAACTGGGCATGAGGGAGAGACATGGTGAGGAGGAGCAGTGCTTTGAGAGCCTGCCTTGAAAATGAAACCTTTTGAGGGGTGCCCTGGGTGATTTCCAGGCCTTCTCACACCTGCTATAAGCTGTGATTGCCTGTGCTGCAGGGAAAACCCCCAACTTCAAAGGACTTGCCTGGATAGTCCTGGAGCCCTCTGGGCACAGACTGGTTGTGGGAAACACCCTCCTCAGTGTGGGGTTTGGTTTTGTTTGTTTTTTTTTTCCTCTTTTCTCATGTTTGAAGAAGAGGTTGAAGAGGTTTATCATGAAGCCCAGTTTGCAGCCTTACTGGTGGCATGTCGCCTCTGGTGCCTGCTCTGAGATGGGTTGGAGGTGCTGGGTTTCCAGGTGATCTTAAACACCTCCCAGCCCTGCAGATCACAGACAGTGGCTGGAAGCCCTGGCTGGCTGGAGCTGCCTTTCCTGGGTTTTGCCTTCCAGCACCCAGGCAGGGCAGCAGCAGAAGGGATTAGCCAGGACTAAAAGCTTAGAAAAATAGTTGTTGAGGACCTTGTGGTGCGGTAGAGTCAAAGCTGCCCCTGGTCTGCCAGAGGCAGGGCTTGGAATGGGGAGAGCAAGCCAGGGGCTGTCTTCTCTGTGGCTTTCCCAGAGAAGGGAAAACTTGCTCAGCTGCTCCTTTTTTTTTTTTTTTTCTTCGTTCTCCTTTCCCTCCCATTTTTGAAAGAAATTGAGTCGTCTATTTAATGGGAGCTAAACCCAGGCAGAGCGTGACCTGGCATCTTCCTGGGGATGCACTCGCTGCATCCCTTTGCTTGGCCAGACCTGAGCCCTCCCTTAATGCATCCTCCTCCCTTTCTCTCCCTCTTCTGGCCTGCAGGATTCCTACAGAAAGCAAGTTGTCATTGATGGAGAGACCTGCTTGTTAGACATCTTGGATACGGCAGGGCAAGAGGAGTACAGTGCCATGAGAGACCAGTACATGAGAACGGGGGAAGGATTCCTCTGTGTCTTTGCCATCAACAACACCAAGTCCTTTGAAGATATTCACCAGTACAGGTTGGTATCCCAGGAAGGGCCCGTTCCCTCTTGCTCAGTGCACCCTCCTGCCCTCCCTTTTACATCAGGCCCCACGGTAGAAGTGCTGGCTGTCAGCAAAGACAATTAGCTCAAGTGGCCATTCCCCAGGGAAGAGACAGAGCAGACAGCTAATGTCAGTGACTCCAATAAAACCCATCCAAAGGGATTGCTTGTGGCCTTTGGGGACTTGGTAATGTAATGTTTAAGTGTTTATGGTGACTAAAGAGAGCTGATCCTCTATGACTCTCTCCCTTCCCTCCCTAATTAATGGAATTGTTTTGTTAGTGCAATCGATCTTGGTGACTTCTGCTGGGCCTGGGAGCTGGGACTGAGGAGGCTGGGAAGGGCAGGGAGGGCTGCTTTCCCCACTGGCAACCACTGCGGCGAGGCTGCTGTCTGCCAGGCAGAGAGGCAGTTCTGGCCCTCGGAGCTTGCTTTCCACAGGGGCAGAGTTGGATCAGGAGGAGAGTCAGAGCCCCGGGGAGGTGACCTGCCTAGGGGGATGTACTGGGGGAGAGCAGGGACCCTGTCCAGTGGCAGAGCAGGGACACTGTCCTGACATGGTCCTGCTTTGGCTGCACCCAGGTTACCCACTGCCCTTCTCCCCCCTGCTGCCATCACCCTGCAGAGCTGGAGAGCCAAGGAGATGGTTGAAATGCAGCGGGAGTCTTCCCTGTTTACCCTGATGTTGGCTTAGGGAGGGATCTCTGCTTTGTGTCTGTCTTTGAGGCTTGGCTGTGATGGGAGGCACTTGCAGAGGATGCAGGAGATGACTCTGCCTGTCCCTGCCCTGTCCACTGCCCACCAAGCGACCGTGTACCCCTGTCCCGCATCACAGACCCACGTCCCAGATAATCCTGTAGCTCCGAGCGCAGGCACAGCCCTTCCTTGCTCCGTAGGCAAGAGGCTCTGCTCTGAGCTGTTGGGATGTCTCAGTTGTTGGCTAGCAGGCGTGTTCAGTGTAATAACTATATGGTTGGACTAATTTGGCTTGTTTTAGCTGAACGGGAGGACAAAGGATGGGATTTTCCTAAAGCACCTGAGGGATTCAGCAGCATTCATCCTTGTGCTGGGGCTGGTGCCTGTGAATCACTCGCAGGATGGCTTGATTTCAAGCCCCGGTTTTAATCATGATGTAAATCACTGGCTTTCATCTTGTTTCGCCTGTGCTCTTTGTGTTTGCACTTTTAAAAGAATATTCCCCAGAGAAATGCTGGCTCTCCCTGGTTAGTAACCATTAGGAGGTATCTCTTTTCAGCTAAGTGTAGCCTGTGCACTAAATTTAGTACTTGCATTTGCTGATCAGGATGTTACATGGAACATTTAAGTGGCTTTATGGCATATCATACATATGGTCAGACTTCATTTCTGTGTTCTACTACATTAAAAAAAGATGATTGATTTTTTTTTTTGTGTGTGTGTCTGTGTGTGTGTGTGATACATGTCCAGCTGCTTTTGGATAAAAATTTGAATTTAATTAAAATGTAGAAATCAGCATTTGAAATAATGCTTTTATCCATTAAATAAAACCATGTTAAATGTTCTGGATGCATGCGCAAGAAAAAAAAAGCGGGTTTGCATCTGAAGTTAAATGATTTATTAAGCAAAGGAAGTTATTATCTATCAGGAGGGAATTGAATGGATTTTTTTGTGGTCATAATGGCCTTTAAGATTTTTAGAAGTGATAGATCTCATCCTCGCCCACCTAGTTTTAAATCTGAGGTTGGAATGAAGAAGAGAGCGTTACAGCTTTTCTGCTTCCCAGTTGGTCAACTCAACTTTGAGTGACCTGAGCTAAACTGAAAGGAAGCAAATACTGCCTGTGCATCTGTAGAAAAGGCTACGGCTGCCAAAAGCTGGTTTATCAGCTCAGCAAATTCTGGTTGCAGGTGACTTTTTAATTTTATTTCTTTTAATCCCCATTACGGGGGATTACTTGATCTGAAATACTGGAAATAACGCAGGTAACTGCTTATTCATTTTTATTTATCTTAAACTGTCTTAAGCTCATGTCTTAATACAGATTGTCAAAATTTCAAGTTGTGTTTTGTAAACAGTTGCATTTAAAGAGCAGAAGTATGTTTAGTTTTCGTTTCCAAAAGTGCCCTAGCTATTTTGCTGTTTATTCCTTTATGTGACCCGGTCGTGTACGTTCTCCTGAAAGCCCAACACGAGGAGCTTGGCAGGAAGCAGCTGGTGGGGAGTGTCCTGGAGCTGCCCCTAATTCCTCTTCTCCCTTGACTTTGGCACCTCTTACTGTTGCAGGGAGCAGATCAAGAGGGTGAAAGACTCAGATGATGTTCCCATGGTGCTGGTGGGAAATAAGTGTGACCTGCCAGCCCGGACAGTGGAGACCCGGCAAGCGCAGGACCTGGCCCGGAGTTACGGGATCCCCTACATAGAAACGTCTGCCAAAACCAGACAGGTAGGAGGAGGGTTTTGAACAAAATCCTATTTCTTTTCTCTTTTTTCCAGTGCTGTCCTGGAGAGGCAGGAATGGGCAGACACCACCTTGCAGACAGATGGGTGTAAGAGCCGGGGTTAGTTGCTTCCTCAAGGCTAAATGCTCCATCAGGACATTTTCTCCCCTGTCTGGGCTTGAGCCTCCAATCTGGAGAAGTGTGTAATAGATGCTCTGGCAGCAGTGAGGGGAAAATGCCTTCTTAGGGCTTTCTCCAAGGCTCTGGAATAACCCCCATAGTCACTGCAGGTCAGCTAAGCTCAGCCTCATCCATGGTCGATTTTGGCAGACCGACAGGCAGAAATACCAGTGCTGGAAGGACCATGTGGAGCTCCCAGAGCACAGAGGTGGAAATGGAGCAGCTGATACCTTCAGGGGTCTGGTGGTGGATTTTATCTTGAGTGGTGGATGGATCTCAACAAATCTCAAGGACTTAAGAGCACCTTGGCCTCATGGTTGCTCATTCAATCTTGCTCCCTGTTTGGGGACCACACTACGATCCCTGTTAGCCTTCCCAGCTTGGTTTCTTGCCTTTAACTCTGCACTTTGCACTGCTGGAAGACAGCCCTAGGGACATAGCTGGGGAGCAGAGCCCTCCCTTCTCTCCACTGTCCCCTCTTGAAGTGGGCAACTGCTTCGAGTGCTGCTTTTCTTCCAGGGTGTTGAAGATGCCTTCTACACCTTGGTGCGGGAGATCCGTCAGCACAAGCTGCGCAAGCTGAATCCCCCAGATGAGAGCGGCCCCGGCTGCATGAACTGTAAATGTGTGATATCGTGACTCCGGTGAGTGCTGGAAGCAGGGGATGGCGTGCAGAGGGGTTGTATTTGAAGCAGGAGATGGGGTGCAGAGGTGACTGCAGATGCGCTCGTCTGCAAACAAATGCAGCAGAAACAATTTTAGCAATGGGAATTTTTTAATGAAACACCTTTTTGACTGAAATAGCATTTTTCTGGTAGGTCAAAATTCTCACTTTCCTGAGGAAGTGTGTAGGAGGAAAGGGTTGTTTCTTTTTCCCCCCTCATCTTGTGGAACAAAATTCTGCATAACTGAACAAAAAAGTATGGTTTTTGTCATGCTTTCCCTGGGAAAGCTCCTTCCTGTGCTGCCCTTCCAAAAGAGCATTTAAGCTGGTGTTGAAGGTGTGTGTCTGGCTGTGCGTTCACCACCCTGGTCCTAGAAGAGTTCAGATGAAGAACTGGGTGAGTGTGGTGCCTCCTAAAGCACTCGTGTAAACTGCCTTGTCCTAAAGCTTCAGGGCAGAGCCATCCCATTCTGTGTTCCTCGGAAGAATTTTTCCCATTAGATATATCCCCTGAGATATTTGGAACTGATGCAGTATTGAGAATTAGCCATAAGGGGGCTGTTTTGCTTTTATAAATTGTTGGAGCCAGAAACAGTGTTTTTCAGATTGTCTCTGTTCACTTGCTTGTTTTTCTTCTTTTTCTTTATGTAGTTGTTATTTTTTTTTTTTATTATGAATTTATGTAAATCATTGCAATCCTGCTGGATAGCAGTGAGGGAGAGCTCTTGCTGGTGTCCCTGCATGAGCTGGGTGGCCTGGGAACTTCTGGCTGTGTAATCTCCTTCCGTGGCAGAAGTGGGGAGAGAGGCAGCTGGGGATGAGCACACAGGGGAGATGTACGTGTACAGACATCTGGGACTGGGGTGTGGGAGAAAAGCCTGCACGAACATTGCCCTTAATGTCTTTTGGGGAGTCTCCCAAGCACCCAGACTGGTCCTTCACCCCTTTACACAACTACTGGAGTCCTATAGAGAAGCACACTGTATGCAGAGATGGTGCTTAGAGGGTCTCACTGAAGGTGAAGGTGGGCAGCTGGTTTTCTGATGTTGCTTTTTGAGCCAAAGGCTGTGAGTGCAGCAGGGCTCCTCCCTGAAAAGAAGAAAAAACCCCCAATCAACAAACCCCAAACAAACAAACACCATCCCCCCAAACAAAAAAAATGTCACCACAAAAAACACGGGCAGCATTTGTTTCCTATGAGCAAAAAAATAAAACCCACCCGAGCACCCCACCCCTCTGCTCGTAGCTGAGGCATGCGAGGTCTCCTGGGGGCCGAGCAGAATGCTGTGCCCAGCACACTTATCACTGCTAAGGGAGGTTTTCCAGATGTTCAGGTCCTCCAGATGTTCAGGAATGTTTCCTCCAGATGGGGACGTGAGCTCGGGGCTCATTTCCTGCTCTGGCTCGCAGCTGACGGCCCTCGCTGCTGCGAGCCCCGTCCCCGTGGCAGCCCGGCATGGGCAGTGCCTTCAGGAAGGGGGGCCACAAGGGGTGGGAAGGAGTCTCTTGGACTCTGTTCAGAGAGCCTGTCCTGTTTGTTGCCAAAATCTTTTTCTGCTCAGGCAGAAACTGGAAACAAGACATCCCAGCTTCTCTTAGCTGCAGTGGCCGAGAGCAGAGAGGGAGGAACATCAGGGTTCAGAAGGAGGAGCCTGACAAGGGCATGCTGGGTTTTGGGGAGGAGAAGGGTGGATGTGTGGCCAGGGAGATTTGCCCTGGACTTACTTTGTGGTTCCCATCATCCCTGAAGAAAGACTCACCAGGCTATGGCCCTGCTCACAGTGAGGTCTGGGCAGAGGCAGGCACTCTGGTGAGATGCCTGAGGCTTGCCCATCACTCCAAGACCATCTGCTTGTTTCCTTCAGCACTCGTGCAGATGCTTTGAGCCAGGTCCAGATCTCCACAGCCTGTGTAGGCCTTTGCTTTCCCTCTGTGGGCACGAGCAGGGTCATCCCAAAATTTAACAAGCGCCAGGCCCCGAGGGAATGGCCTCAAGCTGCCCAGGGCAGGGTCAGGCTGGCTCTGAGGAAGGATTTCTGTGCAGAAGGGGCTGTTGGGCGTTGGAATGGGCTGCCCAGGGCAGGGGGGGAGTCCCCG